TTTTTTTTTCATGAAAGGGAGAGTTATATTTTGAGACAGAGTCTCAGACTGCATTGCCTGGGCTGCCCTTGAACTTCTGATCCTCCTACCTAGACATCTCAGTGTTGGGATTATGGCTAGGTTGATTTGCAGTCTATGTCTTGCCCCTGGACATTTTATCCAGGTTATATTGTTTGCCTCTTAATTTTGTTTGTAGTGTCTTTCAATGTGGTATAGTTTTTACCTTTTTATAGCTTCTAAAATTTTCTGTCCTATTAAGAGTCCATTCTTAAGCCGGGCGGTGGTGACACACGCCTTTAATTCCAGCACTTGGGAGGCAGAGGCAGGCAGATCTCTGTGAGTTCAAGGCCAGCCTGGTCTATAAAGCTAGTTCCAGGATAGTAAGGGAAACACAGAGAAACCCTGTCTCGAAAAACCACACACACACACACACACACACACACACACACACACAAATTTTTTTAAATAAAAATAAAATTTTAAAAAAAAAGAGTCCATCCTATTCCAGGATTAGAAAAATATATAGCTTTTTTGGCACGTGTGTGTATACTTGTGTGTGGAGATGTGTACAAGAAGGTCAGTGGTCAAGTGTTGGCTGTCTTTTGGTCTCACTGAAGCCGGAGGAGCTCACCAGTTTGGCTAGGCTGTCTGCACAGCAGCAAGCCCCGGGGTGGGGTCGCCCCCGGCTCAGCCTCCCTGGTGCCCAGCTTTTTATGGAGGTTCTGGAGATCTAGAATCAAGTCTTGATGTTGTGAAGCGAGTGCTTTACCACCTGAGCTGTCTAGCCCTGGGAAAATAGTTTCTTATTTTTAAGAATCTGTTATTTCTGTTTTTGTTTTTTATGTTCACTTCAAATTCAACTGGAAATTTGTTTTGCAAATGGCATGAAGCAGAGCCTAGACTCTGCTTTGGTTCGGGTGGACAGCGGGCCCTGTCCTCTGGAGCTAGGAGCTGAACCCCAGGCTCACCACACTAAGCACATGCTCTGTCCCTGAGCCACAACCCCAGCGTCAGGCTGGGTTCGTTCTTTCTTGGAAGGATTTTTATTTTATTGTATTTGTTTTGCATTTTGGCCTTTTAACTTTTGGAGATAAATTGTGCTATCACACTGTGTTTAAGGTTGCCCTTGGATTTTTGGCAATTCTCCTGTCTCCACCTCCCAAATGCTAGAATTACTGCCTGAGCCACCACACCCAGCCCCGCCATCCACTTTTCCATGGTCTGTCCTTGCTCCCTGGCTGAGATCTCATCCTTGCTCCCTGGCTGAGATCTCATCCTTGCTCCCTGGCTGAGATCCCATCCTTGCTCCCTGACTGAGATCTCATCCTTGCTCCCTGGCCGAGATCTGTCCACTGCTGCTTTTATCATCTCCTTATCTCTGGCTCCCTATTTCAGTTATAGACTTTTGGTTATATTTGGCTAACTAGAATTAAAGCTGCCATTATTTTTCCAAACATCCAAACATTTCTTGACCATTCTTACATATTGTTCCCCCTCTTCCTAAATCTGCCTGCCATTTATAAACTTTTTTTTTTTTTTGTGGCTGGGGAGTTTTGAGACAGGGTTTCTCTGTGTTTCCCTGACTGTCTTGGATCTCACTCTGTAGCCCAGGCTGGCCTCGAACTCAC